TTAACTTGCATTAGCATAAGTAAGATTAACCTTAGTTACTAAGTAGTTATACTCACCCTATTATCTTCAATGTTACAGGAACTACCTCAATGAGACAAGATAGAAGGAAACAACTTAAGGCATAAGATTACTAGCCTATTTGCAAGCCTCATTTTCTTTTTGATTATTAATGTGTATAATCTTGTATGATATTGCCAACTAGGGAAAATTCATGTCTTGCCCTACTTGTACTATGTGATTGTTGAATTATATTGTGTATTTTAGGCCCTAGAATTGTATATGTACTCATTAAATCTACTACAAGGCCAAAATATTAGTGCAAATAGGAAGTTAATAAGAATGTGATCATTGTGGAATGATATGGTAATTTATGAACTCCTCCTTATACTCTTGTGTTGAGGGGTTGAGCATTAAAAATGTGTGTTATATGTGTTGTTAGTGATATGGTGTATTGCACATATCCATGTTAGTCTTTTGATTGTGGTCTAAGGTGTGAATTTAGCTTTTGGCACTTGTCATGTGATTTGGGCATCTAAGTTGTGTGTCAAGATTGTAAATGAGTGAGTTTTTTGAAATAGGTGTCTAAATTTTGATCAAAAAATGCTATGACTGTGAAATCAATATCATTAACTAGAGTTAAGAGAAAGCTCTTTGTAAACACCTAGATTACCTTATTAGGAAATTTGACAAAGAAATGGGACGCGTTGGAAGTTCATCTTTGGTGCTGTCAAATACATGCAGTGTGTCATAGCATTTGGCATAAGGGCATTCATGCCGCAGCATGGATTTACACAAGATGGATGTTACACAAGTAAAATACTATACAATACCCATCTTGTGTAAATCCATGCACAACTTGTTAAATTACTAACATGACAAGTAAAACATCTAATGTTACTTGCAAATTATTTTTTTTTCATTTCTTATTAAGTCTATAATGTTATTTGTCAAATATTTAACCCATGTAAATACATATATGACTTGTTAAAGTACTGATGTTACTTGTAAGATATCTAATATTACTTGCTAAGCTAGAAATGTTACTTGTGCAATATCTAATCTTTGTAAATCCAAACATGATTTGTTAAATGACTAACTTTATAAGTAAAATGTCTGATATGACCTATAAGTTTCCTTACATTGTTTGTTAAGTTCACAATATTACTTGTGCAATATCTAACATGAGTAAATCCAAACATGATTTGTTAAATTATAAACTTCATAAGTAAAATGTTTAATATAACTTGTAAATTCCCTCACATTATTTATTAAGATTAGAATGCTACTTGTGCAATATCCATCCTATAATCCATCCATGATTTGTTAAATTACTATCGTCAATTGTAAAATGTTTGATACTACTTGTAAATTTCCTTACTTACTTGTTAACTATTCCAATGCTTCTAGTCAAAAAAATAACTATACCAATATTTCATAAATACTCAATTAAACTAATCAAAATAGCTAATTTGAACATCAAAAGAAGCACAAATACATTGTAGCAAATAGTCAATTTACATTTTCAAGATTGTAACATTAAGCTCATAACATCCATGCATCTCCAATTACAAAAGGAAGAACATCAAAATGAAACTGTCTTTTAACTAAGTCATTGTTGCTCTTTTTGTATATGTTGTCTAATTGTTTGATATGGGCTTATGCAAATTTTGAATTATTTGGATGTTGCACTAGCTATCATTAATAGGTTCTTTAATGCACTTAACCTTCCCTTTATTCTTTTCTTGAAATTATCTTTTGATTTTTTTTAATCTTATTACTTGTTCTTTCTTCCTTCCTTATTTTCCTTTGTCCTTCTTTCTTCTCCACCAAATTTATAGCCTTACAAAAATTAACATAAAGCCTGTTACCAATAAACTAAAACTACTTGTGAATTCACTTACACAACTTGTTAACCATCCAACTCCACTTGTTACATGTTTGTGACAACTCATTCAGTAATCAAGTAAGGATTTCAAAACATATAATGGAAAAACAATAGTCAAAAAACGAAGGCATGCAATAACAAAAGGACAAATCACTATTGTTAAATAGTTCCATGAATAGGAAAAAATAACAAGGCAAAGTCACAATGGACAATCTTAAACTTCAATCTACTAAGTTTTTTTCTCTTTGAGTATCAAAATGATGAAAAGAAAAGTTGCGAGATGGAAAACTAATAACATGTTACAATGTCCAACAAGAGGGAAAGTCCCTACACTAAATGGTTTACATCAATAGGCGAAAAATAATGAACAAACTTACTATTGAAAGGAAGCGAGATACCAGGGATTGGGTGTATTTGGATCAAAGAAGAAAACTCAACTTTCTCGCCTTCGTGCTGATCCACGATAGTGAAAGTCGAAATAGCTGAATATGGGAGTGAAAATGTCAACCAAAATCTAGCCAAAGATGGGGATGGAAAGTAGAAAATGAAGACCTTGATGAAGATGAAAACAGACATCAATGGTGGTTCTTTTTTAAGAAAAATGAAGTCCTTGCCTGCTCTTTCTCCATGATAACACCTAAACTGACTTTTTTTTAATGTTTAAACTAAAGGTATTTTTTGTCTTTTCAGTATTCAAATTATTTTCATTTTAGTCTTGGAGGACTAAACTGAGGTTTTCGATTATTTAGGGACCCGCTAATAATTAAATCCCTTCCTTGGTCCTTTACTAAAATTCTCCTTTTTTTAATCCTTCTAAAAGGAGATTAAGAGCAATATGTTTATTCAATTGAATACCTGAGAGGCGACTCTTGGAATTGATACTATTCATGCAAGTCCTTGGAAGCTTATCTCTTACAATATACTTCCTTTTCTTCCATTTATTCTTCTTGTTATTGGGATTGATGCTATTCATTCCCTACTTGCCCCCTCTAATACTCCTTTACATGGTTTAGAAAACTGAATTGGACAAACCAGTCTGACTGATAAACTAGAGACCTGGTAGTGTGTCTGATCTGATTTGCTGTCTTTTTAGGTTAAAAGCCAACCCTTGTGACTCGAGGAAAACCCAGGTTGACTCATTCAACCCTATGGGTTGGATAGGTTGAACAAGTTAATGCTACATCCCCATAAAACTAGAAAGCCCCTGGTTTTAGGTTTACAAAAAAAATAAAAAAATCATAATCAAATGAAAGAACAAGCCTAAACGATTTGTGCCTTTCGTTACTCCCTTAATTTTTCATCTTTACTTCACTATCCTTCCATATCGATGACGGCAGTTGGCACACCTGATAGATCCCAATCGCACTCTTACTAGTGAATTCGAACTCGGCAATGATCTTTCCACCACTAATTTTGGCATCCGTCTTGGCTAGAGAAGGCCAAGAAGCAACAATTAAAACAGATATAGTGTACTCAGCAATATGGAAAAGGATGGTTAGACATAATAGAAGAAACTAATAAAATGAAGACGAAATAGAAATTGAGGACGGAAGAGGGAGAGTAGTGGAAATGAAAAGGTCAAAAGTAGAGAGAAGGGAAAAAAAAAGTTGAGAAGTGTCTTGTTTTGACCAAAGCTTAAAGTCATGAATATAAAGGGAAATGAGAAGTTCCGTAGGCTAAGTGTAAAAACCAAGAGATAAAATCATGATTTCAAATCGTTGATGTCAACATGGTCTTCTCGTTTTTCGAAAAGGAGGGGTGCTGTACCCAATAAGTTTAACTTTTCAAGTTTTATTTTGATTTGATTATTATTATTTATTTAGAATTTATTTTCTTATATTATGATTTGTATTATTATTTTATACTTAAAATAATAACTTATAATTAAAAATATAGTCATATTAATTACTTACATGTTTAAATCTATGAAAGTTGTTTTGTATAAGTTTATGAGTTATTAAGTTTAGAATATGAATAAATATATTAAGGATTAATATGATTTTATTTAAATTATTTTATTTTATTATGACCGATTTGATTCTGGTTCAACTCCGGGTGAACCCCTAACCCCTAATTAGCACTAGGTAAACAGGTTATGGGCTAGTCCGCACATTTTTGCAAGTTGGGTATTTTATTATGATCGGTTTGACTCTAATTCAACTCCGATTGAACCCTTAACCCCTGACTAGCACTAGGTAAATGGGCTATGAGCTAGCTCGCGTATTTTTGTAGGTTAGATTGGGCCATCCTGCCAAATAAAGCGAACTGAAAAATTCAACCCAATCCATTTTTTGGTGGGCTGGCCCGCAAAAATTCACCAAAATTTTTTTTAACAATTTTAAATTTATATAATATAAATATATATATATATTTCACATTTTAAGGCAAATTATCAATTAAATAACGTGTAAATAAATAAAATACACATAGAATTCAACCAATCAAATTCATTTTACTATATTTTTCTTATCAATTATTTTCTCACCTAGGTGTGTTATTTTTCTCACTGAGAAAGAAAATTTAAATATAAACTTATATTATTTTTCTCAATGAATTCATATCTATGATTTTAATCAATACATCTTATGATGTTAATAAATAATATATATTCAAAATATTTCTATAAAAACTAATAAATTATCGATTTACAAACTATAACAAAAATTTCATTTGCAAATTCAAAGAAAGATTTACATTATCTTTCAAATGTAAAGAATATATTTTGGAATCATAAATTATATATTTGAAAAGTATTATTATTATTGTATATTTTAAAAAAACATAATGTAATTAAAAAATAAAAAATGTGTTAACTTATAGGCCAACCCATTTTAGCTTGCTAATTTTGCGAATTGGATTAGCCCAACCTGTTTTTAAAAACGGGCCAATTTGGTCAGTCCAACCTATCAAATTTGACAGGTTAAATGGACTAACTTGCAAGCTCAATCTGATTTCCCGACTCTGCCTAACCCCAATCGATACAATGATCGGTCGGATGTTTACTACCTTTCCCTTGGGCTTGTTATCCCTCCTATCAAATGCCTTCCCCAGTGCTCGCAAAGTCCATCATCACTCACTGACAGCACAGAAGTACAACCACCATATATTCCATGAAACATAGGCTACCAGAAGTAGTTTATTTAATCTTTATTCTTTACTCTTTAATGGCTAAAAATGCGCAGAATCATGAGCAGTCAAGATTCTAACCCTTGAAAGTTTGCAGTTGACCCCTAAATTGGTTGCTGTCAAGCAATTAACACCATTTGTTAGTGAATTCAAGTCCACTAATGAAGCTCCTTCATGTTAGTAGCTCCATTACTACCTTCATTCTCTCTCTCTCTGTCTCGTTTGCCACCAATCCATCCCCGGCATGGAGTCACCTACTTGTTTGTCTAGGGCTCCTTCAATGATAGGGAGGCCATTAATTCTAGCATTTGCACTGATCAGGAATCTATAGTAATGGGAGCAAACAGATGGAGCGATTTTTAAGATGGTGGTGGAGCACACATGCCTGTGCTTGCTCCATTGGTAGGGTTTGGGTATTGCCTCGAAAACCTTAATTTTTATCACCTTTGTGATTGGGATAAGGAGAATATGAGGCCTTTTATTGTGGAGGCATTGGATTTAGATGGTGGTGATGGGTTGTTGGGTTTGGGGAATTTTTTGGGCTTTGACAAAGAAAAAGAAACTAAACTTTGTATTTGGATTTTTGGAAACCTCGCAGATTCATTTGGGGCTTCAGTTTTGTAACCTTGGTAGATTCATGTTAGGGCTTGGCATAGAGGGAGCTTCCTTCCATGGCTTCTTGATAGAGAGTAGAGAGAAAGAAGAGGGGAAGGATGAGAGATAGGACTGAGGTTGAGGAAAGAGAAAACAGATGTTTACTGGATTCCATAGAGCATACTCACTGATGTCATAGGATGAGTTAGCCTTTCTTTTTAGCGACAATGATAGATACTTTGATGACTTTATTTAATAAAAATATGCACGATTGTCTTCTGTAGCTGTGTTTGTGTGTGTTTTATTTTTTTAATTTAAATCTGAAATAATTAGATCCCAGCAGATGGTTTTTGTTTTTGTTTTGTTTTGTTTTGTTTTGTTTTTTTTTTTTTTTTGCGACCAGCTCATGTTACTTTATGCATACCAAGGGAATGATTGTTACTATTGCAAAGTAAAATGCTTATTTACAATTTGTTTGTCTTTTGTCAGTTCCTAGCAGTGTGGTCAGTTGCACGTCCCTTCGAATCTCATAAAAGCGCAAATCATCTATATTTTCCCTATTTAACCTTAAAGACAAGAGCCCATTCTGGAGTGAGGATGTTATGCGTGGTCAACTGGTCGTATGTGTTGGTCATGTTTGTTGAATAAAATAGCTAAAGTATTAGTTGTAAATATAGCTTGTTTGGCTGTAAATAGTGCCTACTTCTTTTACTCTGTTTTTGTACCGAGTTGATTGTTATGCATGCTGGGTGTTAAATAATGGAAGGATTAATTGTGAATATTGTCAGTTCAATAGTAAATAACTTCAGTGCTTTTATTCCAATCCTCCTCCGATATCGCCGTCCTAGAAGGCGGCCCTCCGCTAGCCGCCGAAAGCATCGCTCTAACTTGCTCATATCTTATTAGTGCTTTTATTCCAATCCTAACCTTCAATCCTAACGTTTTGTAGACGAGATGGAGACAAAATAGTATCAGTTTCAGTTCAAGTTCAGTGAGTGGATTGTGACGTAAAAGCTAAGGCAGGGCGAAATTTCACACGAACATGTTTGATTTGCTCCTCAAACTTCACACGAAATTTCCCTCTGTCTCCTTTCTTGTTTGAATTACTACTTTGTTTTTTCTTTTGCTTTTGATCGATGTTGGCTGTGAGCTGTGTCTATTATCCCCTAGATGCTGTGCAGAATAGAAATATGGAAGCTTCTGATGGAGGAAATTCAAGCTTCATCCACCGTGGTGCAATTGTTCACCCCAATGCCGTCATAGGCGAGGTATTTTCTTGAATATGAATTCCTCACTTCACACCATCTTCACCATCTCCTTGTTTTCTTCTCGTAGGTATTGGTTTCTTTCCTATTGCATCTTTGTATGAAGGTTTTATGAGGCAGCTCTAGGCTGAGAACATAGGTCTACATGTCGTGTCCCTTTTTTTGTTTCTGTGTTGATTATATGATGTACTGCTGTGGTGGGGATTTGATTGTGGTTTGAACTCGGAATCAGAACTTTTTGTAAATTATTGTGGAGGTTACTTTTCCTTTGCCCTGAAATTAATGGTATTCCAATTATGAGAAAGGTAATTTTGGCTTGCTGACAAGTAGCATCATTTTGCAATTTTCTTTTGTTTTTTTTTGGATGAAAAAAAAGTGATGCATCATTTTGTAATTTGAGAAAGAAAAAACAAGATTCACATGAGTAGAGCTTGGATGATGGATTGGTTAATCTGCACGTTGTTTTCTTAGTGTGCTGTAATGTATTGTAATTATAATGCAGTCTGAGTATTAATGCAGCCTAGTGTCTTTAAGATCTTGTGGTCTCTTGAACTCATCAAACATATTTTATGCAGCTTAATGTTTTCTAGTGATTGGTCTCCTGCTGTTATGCTTAAGGGGGTTTCAATAGGACCTTTTTGTTCTGTGAGTTCTTCTGCAGAGATTGGCAATTTTTGTAAGCTATATCCTGGAAGCCATATTTTTGGAAGTACCGAATTAGGAAATAACTGTACATTGATGGCGTAAGTTCAGACCTAATATTTCTGATTTTGCCTAAGTTTCTGCTTTCTGCAAGGAGTACTTTCTCTTTAACCATTATATGATTACTTACTTGGGGAACTTTGTCTGGCAGTGGTGCTGTTGTGGGTGATGATCTTCCTGGATGTAACCATTGTTGGAGGAAATAACTAAATAGGTTATCATGCTGTGATTGGTGTCAAATGTCAAGACTTGAAATACAAGGTATCTTATTGGATGCTGTTCACATTAAGGGATTCTGTATGTGCGTGTGTGTCTGCTGATCTGTCCTATTGATAGTGCTCATTCTATGTCATCTTACCCTTTAGGTTCTGATTGTTGAAGTTGAAATCATGTCATCATCAGTTATATTTATATTGTTGGGACAAAATTAATAGATAAGATAGTAAGTGCGTTGGTCAAATAATAAAATGGCTAGTAGAGTGTTATTCTCATTTAGAATGCCATGGTATTACCTCTATTCTAGGCTTTTTGGATATTTTCTTAATACAGACAACTAATCGCTTAACTTATACTAGTTACGTCTACCTGAAAACGCAAGAGCATTAATCACTGTAAAAGATTCATGAGAGCGTAGTTCAAGTTCTAATAACCTGATATGAGACTGCCGATCTATAACAGAAAAATGTGAAGTAAGGATCCTGACAAATAGATGTCTGGAATAGGGAGTCTTCATCTATACTTCTTTGTGGTGTCACATGCCCAAAGATGACATTGCTAACGTGCATAGTTATCAATTAGAATGCCTTGCTATATGCACTAACTCTTTAAGCTAGATAGCTAATGACCTCTATTAAATACTTATGAATGGACTGAATTGTATTATATACACTTATTTCGTGTGAAGAGTCATGTAATTCATCTCTGGTTTTTTTGGGTCATAATAAATGCTCCTAATTATGCCGCTACGTTGTCGCACCTGAAAATGCAATGCGGACGATGCGCAAGAGTGAAGGTTCCGGCCTTCAAAGCGAAAATTTGCTAAATAAAAGTCACTATTAAAATTTTAAAGAAAATCTTGAAAAACTATTTAAAGAAGATAAAGATAGTCTTCGAAATTAGAAATAAATTTAGAAGTCGATTGAGTATAGAAAAGATGTTAGGCACCCCACAACATTCGTTTGTAAAAATGATTACCTAAAGTTAATTGTGTTAAATTAATATGGCTTTAAAATTATTTTAATCATCACTTTCTTATTCACGTGTTTTAAAAAATAATAATAAAATGAAGAATACTTATTAATTTACAAGAGAGGATTTGACTCAAAATCAGACTCTGAGGCCTATGTAACCTACAACGGGATCAAAGTTCATATAATTTCGGATTATAAGTTGTTGGTAAAAATATATATTTTAAGAAAAATTAATTAGAAATAATTCACTATTTTAAAAATAAAATAATTTTCTGAAATTTTAATATGTTTTAAATTGTAAAAAGTAATTTAATTTTAATTATTTTCTCAATTTTTAAAATATTCAAATAAGAAAAAAAGAAAAGAGTTTAAACTTATTTTGTTTATGTTTTTTTATTTTTTTAAAGATTTAATTGTTATACCTACAGAGCTTTATTAGCTCATACGGTAATATAATTATTCTAAATATTTGTAAATATTTCAAATTCTTGCACAATAAAAAAGTCTAACAATTTAATTTATTTACTTGTATTTTTAAATGTTAGTAATAATTTGTTTAAGCATGTATACATATATTTTTTAAAGAATTTTAATTGTCATACTCGAAAAACCTTATTGACTTACATGGTAATATAATTATCTTAAATATCCACAGAGATTTAAAGTCTCACATAATAAAAGAATTAAATAATATTTTTTAACTATATTTTTAATTTAATTGATTTATTATGTATGTACACATAATGTATATTTTTTTATGTGAAATCCTAATCGTTATATCTGCAGAGCTTTATTAACTCACGTGATAATATGATTATTTTAGAGGTGTACGAAAATTTAAAAATCTCACATGACTAAAAAATATAATCAATAAATATGATTATAATTTAAATACATTAATTTAAGTAATTAACTTTATCTTATTATTTTATTTACAAAAGTCATTTTTATTTACTATATAAATTAATAATTGTGACATCTGTAAAGACTTATTATCTTACACAATGATGTGATTAATTTAAATCTCTATAAAGATTCTTTAAAATTTTACACAAGACTTAAATATTTGATAGATTTAAATTAAAAAAGAAATTTAATTTTATTAGCGGGTCATTGAAACTCATATTTAATGTATACAAAATTAATCCTCTGCAAAATCTTATTGATATATAAGATATGAGATCATTATAAATGCCTGCGAATATTCTTAAAATCTCACACAATAAATAAGTAATCAAGATATTTGCATTTGCAATCGATGCATAATATGAATTTAACATTCGAACAGAGAAAGAAACTATTTTGACACTTCACTCCTCTTTCGACTTGAGGATGTATTCTTCAAGATTTTTTAAATTAACTTAATGCTTAGATATGGCTTTCGAAAGAAAATAATGATAATAGTGGTACTTGCATCCAATAATTAAAATAAACAAGATCAAAATATCATCATCATCAATCACCTAATTTATCTTCCATGAAAATTAAAATCAAGTTGATGTCTTAACCTTTTAAAAAACAAAGAGATAAAAAGTTAAATTCGATTCATATGCTCTTTTATGCTAAAAAAATATATTTTAAATCCAATTTAATCTTGATCTAACAAGCATAAAAATTCCTTCAATTCCTCTTTTATACATTTAGCAAACACTCTATGAGTGACAATATTTATTCGATAATATAAAGCTACTTTCTCTTCAAATATCTTTCTAAATATTCATTATTAATAAAACTTTTGAAGCTTTCAAATTTTCTTATTTCAACACAAGCGAATTTCCATTAAAAATCAGTTCCATAACAGCATAATCAACACAAAAACTCATGCCCATATTTATTGCAAGGAGAGAAGGGAGAAGGGGTTCAGCCGACCAAAAAAGAAAAAAAAAGACAAACGAAGGATGAGGACTGAAGTCTCTTCACGCACTCCAAATCTAGAACAGGGACGACACAAGACAAAGAAAAGCAGAGCAGACTAATAGCAAAGCAAAGGAGGGAGAAAGAACCAGTAAATCAAACCCCTTGCAGCAATGGAAACAACTTCGGTGTACCCATAGAAGACGTGCAGAAGGAATGAAGGAGAAGGGAATCAAAGCATCCATAGTAGGACACGCACGTAAGAGGAAGGAGCCGATGGTGCCGAGAACGGAGAAAGAAGACAGACCATAGATTCATGGAGCACCCACAATGGCAGACGAGCTACGACTCCACAGTTGTCAGCAATAGATGGACGGGAAGGAGGAAGAAGAAACTTCTCGACCCATTGTGCTCTCCCTTTCTCGGAATTGCTTTTTCGGAAAAATGCCCTCTCCAATCTTCGATCCCCTTTAAATCTCCCTCTCGCTCAATACCTCTTCCATCTCTGCCTGCTGTGCTTGCATGCGCGACCTTCTCTCTAGCTTCGTATCTTTTCTCTGTGTTGCTTGCTCTACGTGTGCGATCGTCTGCTCTCCTCACTTTTTTTCTGCCCTACATGTTTTCGTCTCTACTCTTCTGTGTGCAGCCGAAAGTAAATAGGGCTATCGGCGAAACGCTCGTGTGTTTTGACTCTGAATGAATGAGCTGATGGTAAACGCTTGTTTAACCTTTGGTTTATATTAAATTTTTTTAAAAAACACCACAATTCTTTTTTTTTTTTTGCTTATTAATTATGTTTATTGATTTCAAAACTTAGATTAAAAGAAAAAAATTTACTTTTGAATTAAACAAGAATATTTTTTTTTAAATTTTTTTATATAAACATATAAGTTGAACAACCAAATCTACAAAAATTTAAAAATATTTAATTTTTAAGAAATTGATTTTCATAATTTTTTGATTGTTGAAATAAGTTAGTGAAGAGATTTTAAAATATTTAAGTAATATTTTTTTCACTATTTACAAAATTAATTCTAAAGACCAATTAGATTTATTTATCTTCTTTCTGCTGCTGTTACTGTTGTTGTCGTTGGTGGTGTTGTTGGTGTCAGTGCTGCTGCTGCTGGTGGCGCTACTGCTGCTGCTGTTGTTGTTGTTAATCCTCTAAAAAAATTAATTTGTTATATTTTTATATTTTTTTAATTATTTTAATGAGCTAAAAGAAATATAATCCTAACCAACAAAAATTATCTACATTAAAATAAAATTAAATCATGTTAATTAAAAAAATTATTTTATCTATATTATTAAAAGTTCATTTTTTTGTTGAATTTATTATTATTTTTATATTAAAAAATACCTGAATAAAATACAGTGTTCATGTAGCGAGAGGATGAATGTTTCCTGAATGTTGGTGACAATAATGATATTGGAGAACTTACTTCAATCCACCGATCTTCAAAGTCAACTGATAGGACTGTAAGAAGATTGCCCATTTGGTTATGTGCGTGTATAGATTTTCATACTCTAACATGCACAATATGGTCAGGTTATTGGGAATAACAATCTTATCATGGGATCTTGTCATATTGCCCATGATTGCAAGGTTGGCAACGACAACATTTTTGCAAATAATACTCTTCTTGCTGGACATGTCATGGTGGAGGTAAGCAATTTTTAAACAAATGTATTTTTTTAGAAGAAGAAACATTCGTGTAATTTATAAAATTAATTAACACTCTTCAAATGCAGGACTATATTCACACTGCTGGTGCCATCGTTGTTCACCAATTCTGCAATCTTGGCTCCTACTCTTTCCTTGGTGGTGGTTCTGTGGTAAGTGCATCTCTCAATCCGTTGGCCTTGAGTCACTATTACGCTCTATGTCTTATAAAATGGGTTGTCCTCAGTTTTGGTTATATGATAGAGCCCTGTCAAAGGTAAAGGACAATACAGAAAGAAAAGACAGCAGAAGAATAAAACGAGGGAGATTCTTTGGTTGTGATATTAAAACTTCGGAATACCCAATCAATGTTGCAAAAGACTTCACTGATTCTGGTCAAAAAATCTATTCCCCTAATGAATCAGAATGAACAAAAAACAGCAACAATTTCAAGGTTTACATAACAACTACACAGCCCAACCACTGGCATTCGAGGGACCAGAACTCTTGTCACCATGCTCAATATCAAAATACGTACTTAAGACCCTCTAGAAGCCCTAAGGACCAACAAGTAACTTTCGATGCTCCCTAACACTGGGTCAGCACTTGCTTTTCCTATATTTTGCTCAAGAGCCGTAGGATAATTCCATGGACCAGCAGAATTATTCACTTCCGTTGCTTGCGTCTTCCTTAATTTCCTCTCATGTCATAGTGAATCCAGCAGCCCTGTCATTATACTGTTAATTTTCATTGATCAATTTGAGTAATAGTTGAATTTGCAAGTAGGGGTGTTCAGTCTGAACCCGTCCCAATTGGCCCGATATCATCCCGATCATATCGGGACGGGTCTTGTCCCGGCCCGAAAATAATTGGGACAGAACTTTACGGGACGAGATAAGAAAGGTATTCGGGACGAGGCGAGATACGGGATTACCATCGGGACGTCCTGTCCCGTCCCGAATATTATATATATTATTTTTTATTTTAAATATATTAATTATATTAATATAATTTATACTTATATTAATTATATCAATTATGATTTAATACTTGCAATTCTTATTTAAAATTAAAGGTTTTTTATATTGATAATTTTAGTGGCATAGAATAAACATGGCGATATCTTTCTTTATAATATATTAATTATATTAATATAATTTATTCTTATACCTATCTATTTAATAACTTTTATTTATAACGTATTTATTGTTTTATTTTTAGAAGAGTAATTAGCTTAGTACATCTTCACTAAAGTAGAAGAACAATGGTTTGATGTTATGTTTGACTTGCCTATTGTTGCTAATCTTATAGCATAAAGATCACTTGTATTTGTTATTATAATGTGTAGTTGTGATTAATATAATTCAATAATTAATTTTAAATTATTGTTATTTATGTACTTGTGTTGTTTTGATTTTAAACTTAATAAATTATATGATTTAAAATTTTAATAAACGTTATTATTCAGATCTTTTTTGATATTATTGCATTTATCGAGACAACGGGATGTCCCAATCTTGTCCCCGTCCCATCCCGACTCTTAACGGAACAGGATGACTTTCGGGACGGGACGAGACACGGGACCAAAATTCAGTCCCGATCTTTTTTTCGGGACAGGACACAGGATGAGAGTGTCCCGGTCCTGTCCTGTCATGTGAACACCCCTATTTGCAAGTAGTGTCAGCCATTATTGATGGAATCCTCTGCATGAAGATTATGTCCACTTTGCATTAAATTGGTAATACTAAAAGGTCCTTTTGAAGAACTTGTCAAACAAAGGAATGCTACAATGAATTTATGCCAAATGAATTGCTGCAACTACAGTTTTTGTTTTTACATGATTGAAGGTTTCACGAGATGTCCCCAAATACATGATGGTGTCTGGAGCAAGAGCTGAACTTCGTGGTCTTAATGTAGTGGGCCTTACTCGGCGTGGATTCACAATATAGAGGTTCTTGCTGATAAAATTTGAAGTTCATTTGATTTCAATTCAAAGTAGATCTTATCGTGCAATTAATAATTCCTGTGCAACATTCTAGATCAGGAGCCTTGAAACAGCTTATCAAAAGATATTCATGCCCGCATGTGCAAACACTAGGTCCTTTGGTGAAAGGCTTGGTGCTGTGGTATTCTCTTGTGCTTTTGTGTTTCTCTAAGGTCCCGTTTGGTATGACTGAATAATTTCTGATAGAATCAAAATTGGAATCGAAATTGAAATCGGAATCAAAATTGGAATAGAATTGAATTTTAAAAATATGTTTGGTATGTTAGAAAAAATAAATAGAATCCTTGTATTATTTTTGTTTGGTAAGTAAAACAGGAAATGGAATTATGCTTAAAAGATAAAAATATTTCTAAAAATTAAAATCAAAATTAAAATGTATTAATATTGTGATTTAATTTCTCATATACTATTTAATATACAAATGAAATATTATATAGATGATGCATATTAAAAATAAGTAAAATATTTTTTAAATGAAATATTATAAATATTTAAATCATATATAAACACACACACACACATGATAATTTATATATATAAAAATTTGAATTGTCTGAATTGGGTATTTTGAATCGAGCATATATATATATATATATATATAATGAAAGCACTGGTTGAGCATTTTCAATTGTTCACTATGCGACTGTCTGCGTGCTCAATTTTTTTAGTATTAATCACAAATGAGTAAGGGCATAGTTGTCTTCTCTATTTTTATATGAGGATAAAATTGCCTTCAAAAAATACAATTCCATAGAATTGCTCCAATTCCATAGCTCCCATCAAAAAATTCAATTCAGCCTTTTTTGCTTGAATCAAGATTCTTGAAAATTTAAATTTACATATACCAAACATCATTGTTTTATGATTCCGGCTTTAATTCCTTTTCCATACTTGTGATTTCACTCTACCAAACACAGCCTAAGTAAATAAGTTATGGATTTGGAGAGAACCTTCCATGGTCAAATCTTAATTAATTGTGAACTACTTTTGCAGGAGAAGCACGAAGAATTGACTCACTTTCCTGTTGTACGTGCGATGTTGAAATCTAACCGTGATTCTTTTGCAGAAGATCGGCATGGAATATGCAAGTTCAGAGACTTGATTGGCTCTTGAAGCGAGATGAAGTGAGCACACACATATGCATGGATATACCTGGCGGTTCTGTGACACTCCTCATGTGTCATGGCATACTTAATTCATAAGTACTCTATTGGCCTTACATATTTAGCTAGGACTTCCTCGTTTCAAGAAAATCAACTTGTGATTTTAATACTATATTATTTGATTTAGTGTGAAGAGTTGACAGTTTTGCAGATATCTCATGCAATTTTTGCCTGGATTACAAGCTCATGTGCATTCAGTGGGGTAAACTATGACAGCTGTTCTGGCAGGTCTGAAGGAGTCAGTCTACACTGAAGCAATTTTGATGGAAAATATCGTATTACTAAGAGCTTGTGGCATGAAACGGAGTTATTACAATATAAAAAATTGTTTGAGACAATGAATTTTTGTATTTTTCAAGGATTGATTTGTTATATAGAGATTTCTCGTGAGGGGTACAGTAATGCAGGTGGAGTTTTGCATTAATCATGTATCTACTTGTGTTTTGTATCTAGAATTGAAGAACGGACGGGCCAGCTTATATGAGCTCAGCTCTTATGGGCTCAGCCCTTAAGAACTTAAGCCCGATTTTCTTAAAATACCTTATTTTTTAAAGTCCAACCCTTATATAAAGGGCTCAGGGTCAAGCCCGTAAATCCTTATTATTATTTTTTATTTTTTAAAATTTTTTAAAATTAAATTTTTTAATTATAATATTTCATATATTTTTTAAAAATATAAATTATAATGTTTAAAAATTAAAAATAAATAATAAAAATTTTAATTTTAAAGTATAAATATATACTCTAAAGTTTAAATTTAATTTAAAAATTAAAAATATTTTATTTTTTAAGGAAAAAACAAAAACGAGCCTAAAAAAATCGTCCAAGCGCAAGTCTTTTTTTTCAGAGCTTATGAAGGCCGGGCTTGAAAGTTCAATTTTCTTAAAAAATATCATTTTTTTAAAGCTCAAATTTTTATAAAAATAGACTTAAATGGGTGGCCCTTTAAATCCATCTTTTATTTCTAACTCTATCTGTATCCTCTTTAAACCTTGAGAGCTTCAGAGTATGGCATGAGTTACTTAATCGAGTTGCTTTCTTCCTGCTTACCAATCGTAATTTTGGGTTCGAGTAATTGACTTGAGCATTTCTGTGGAAAATGTATTAGAGATTCTAAAGCTGGATAATGAAGGATCATTTAGCAGCCCGTTTTTGTCTGGTTAATGCTCTGTTTTTAAATATAAGTAAATTTTTATTAACTCTCAGTTTAAAAAAGTTGGTTAACTTTAATTACTGATTAAATAGCAAATACATGTCTAGGTACATGCATCACGTTATGAAAATATATTAGGACTCTCTAGCAGAAGAAAGCATCGCATTCCACTATTTTTTTCTTTCCCACTACTCATTCTTTGCAAATATGAATTATACAAATTAAATCAATATTTTTAAAAATTATTAAATCTAAATAATCAAATTTAATGTAATGATCCAAATTTTCAGTGACTCCTACAGGAAAAAAGCTGACTCCCTCTTCTCTCCCATTTATTTATCTTCGCTGACTTATTCGGTTAAATTGGTTTACTGGATTGTAGGGGTTAACGTAGGTAGTAAATCTACCTATCTGTTTATAAAAAAAATGTATAATATAAAATCTATAAATAAATTTGTTATTTTTGAACTCCTAACTGTAGTATAATATAAGTTATTATTAATCAATTTATATTTTTTTAAAAAAATTTAATTAAAATCTTAATTTTCTAAATTTTTTTACATTTTTTCAATTGTAACAATGGATAGAATAAATATTATATTTGATTTATTCAAAACATATTTATTAACTAGATTTATTTTCCATGGACGGGGATATTTTAATATTTAAAAAATAAAAATATGAAGAATTTAAAAGTAATTTATTTATTTTAATATACTTCTAATTCATTATCTTTTGTAAATAAAAATTTATTTTATTTTAAAATTAAATTGCTCATGCATATTAAATATATAAATAATAATTTATTTTTTATGAGAATGTGTTTGTCCCAGGGATGCTGACTGGCCTTACACGTGTGTTCCTTCTTTGATTGACATGAGCGGAAATTTTAAATCATGTTAAAAAAAAATTCTATTAAGTTCTACTCTTCGTAATTAATTAAAGAAAAAAATTTGCCACACAACAAATTTTCCTAGATCCATCACTTATTGTCTATGCATCAATTTTAATTTGACAATGTGTTACCCTTATGTATATTTCAAATTAAAATGCTATTTTTGCCCATGCATCACTTAAAAAATGAGACATGTACTTTGATAAACTATATACTATTTTATAATTTGTTACTTCCTCTATTTAAAAATATAAGATATTTTTAATCGAATCTTACTTTCAATAAAATAGTTACTTACTTTTAAACTAACTTTATCTTTTCATATTTATCCCTATTAAATACCTTATAATAAATATAAAGTCATTATCAATAGAGGCACTTTTGTAAAAAAAGCAATGATTATATTTCGAAAGACTAAAAATACATTACATTTTTTAACATGCAACTCCTTAAAAAATATCTTACATTTTTAAATGGAGAAAATATTAGCTTTGTATTTTATTCTATAATTTATTATCTTATACACACACCCACACAAAATACAAGTAACAAAACATAGATCTCATGTTCATTATTATTTTAAAATAATAAATAATAAGCCTCGTATTATATCTATTTTTTCTAGAGATCTCATATTTACTACTTTTTTATTATAAATCTTATATCTATTTTTTATAATGGACCTTACATTTCTTTTCTATATGTAAATATTTTAAAAATAAATAAAATAAAATTTTATTGTTCATCAATATTTTAAAAATAAATAAAATAAAACTTTATTGTTCATCCAGAATAATAAAATAATGTACTTTTTACTGCATATCAAGAAAAAATTATTATTAAATATAATGTATTATGATACTATGTTTAGTTTAAGTTTTGATGTGATAAATATAGATTAACTAACTATATGCATGCATGACATAATAACGATTATATTTATTTCCACACATATTAATACTTGAATAAACCATTTTGTTCGTGATATATTATTGAAGGTTATCCAATGTAAGTGAGCATGTAGAGAAAGCCATTGTTATCATTAGCATAATTCACTCAAGAATGAAGAACATAAAGATAAAGAGAAAGATAATCTAAAAAAACTTAAGTGAATGAAGAAATACAAGCAGGGATGGAGCTAGGATTTAAGAATAAGGAGGGTCAGAATTAAAAAACATATATATTATAATGTTTTCATAAATTTTAAGGGGGTCAGAAGTATGTAACACCTTTATAATATAAAGAAAATTCTTAAAAATTGAAGGGGTTGCAGCCCCTATTAGTCCCCCTCTCTCTGCCACTGCATACAAGCTTGGATCTGTCATAACCTTGATATTGATGGGTATAATATCTTTATACTTTCTAACTTTATGTTAAACTCATTATTTTTATATATATTTGTTTTAAATCTTAACACACATTTTTGTTTTAAAATAAATAATGAGATATATCCTTAATCTTGTTTTTAATTAATTATATCTCACAAAATTTGAAAATATTTTCTCTTAAATACTATGAAATTTCTTAAGAGTTATATTTACTCAAAGTAGAGTTTTGTGTTTAACACTTGAAGTTCATGCTTCGAGTTAAGAATTTTAGAGATATACAGTTTTAACCTTTATTCAATATTATATATATATATCTCTTAATATATAAATCCATTTAATGTAAAACTTATTTCATTTGAAAATAGATTTGTACATATTTTCAAAAAACTTAATTTCGTTCAGAATGGATTTTATATGAAATTGTTATGAGTTTTCAAAGTTGGTTGTTAATGCATCCAAATTATCAGAAAATCATCCTTGACCTTTTCTCACCATTTTGATCATATCTCTCAAAATCCTTTGAATTTTTGTGTGGGTCTTTTTTCATTAGAAACTAGAAATCTAGATCTTTCCAACCATATGTCATTTGCCTGATTTGGATTTAAAACGAAAGAGTGATGACCATTAGAAGTTGACCCATAATTTCTAATCATCTATACTAGTATAAATCGTTTACACCCATATAATTCATCCTTATTTCAGTACAAAACCCTTTATACCAGTATAAACCCTCCTTTTTAAGTTCAGTTGTGTCTTATACCGGTACAGAAGTCTATTATACTGATACAATTGATCTCTTATCCATATAATGTCACTTATTCCAATATAACCCCACATATTTCGGTATAAACATCCATTTCTCATGCTCTATTCTTCGTGGCTGATTTCGTACTCGTTGAAAGTCATTCAATATCAATTCCTTTCATTATCTATGAGTTGTGTTAACTTTATAACTTTTCTAAAATTATTTTTAACACAACTTTGGGTTGGATTAAACTTTTCTTAATTCTTACAAATCCTTTATATCGTATAGTAACTTAGCACTTCTTCACATATGAGTTATTGCTTATACCGATACAAATAGCTTATATCAATACAACTATGAAGATCTATGCTCTGTTTTTCAATCTCTTTTTTGTGCAAATCAAAGCTTACTTGTTTTTTATCTTTTTCATAATCTAAGTGATGGGCTCTCATTATCATCTATCTAGAAGCCTTCTAAATACATTCTCGGGTCAAATTAAACTTTTATTTAATCCTTGATTTTTCTGTATACCCAAATAGCATTCGTTCATTTTGGTATAAATATGAAAAAATATGCTCTATTTTTCATTCCACATCTTATAACTTTTGAATTTCTCTTATTAATAAATTTTGTCATAATTAAGTGTTGTGTTAACGCTCTTACCTATTTTAGAATTATTTTAAATACAACCTTGAGATGGACTAAACATTTCTTGATTATTCTAATGTCCATATTCCCATCATTTTTCTAGTATTCGTTTTAACGGTAATATTGTTAAAGCATTAAATGCATAAATGCTGTTATATTTACTTTTAGCTCTAGCACGTAAACCCATATGAAAAGCTACCATTTTTTGCTATCATTTTTGGGTAATAATACCGTTGCAAAGCTACAAACCTACACTTATATCTACATGTTGAAGATTGAGAAGTTACAAAAAATTGATTGTATCTAACGAACACTCTACAAGATGCTAAAGAGAGGAGACTATTCCAATAGCTATATTAATGTGTCTAATGGATCATTTATTAATTTTAACTATTAAAGGACTCATCTATAGAGATTGAAGCAAAGAAGAAAAGTAAGTGGCACGAGCTGAGATATTCAATACTTTTGACTACTCTCTATTTTTGTCTTCAATATTATTGTACTTCCATGTATTTATCTACTCAATGAGTGA